GGCACACTGGACTCCCACATGGTCAACCGTAGTTCAGGGCCTGGATGTGGCAGCTTGCTTTTTCACTTTCCCGCTCTATCTGTTTCTATATCTCTCTTGTCAAATTTTTTAAAAAGTGGGACCAGCAGATGGTGTAATGGTTACGTCACTGGACTCCCATGTCTTCAACTGTGGTTCAAGTCCCGGACCCAGCGGCTTAAAACTCAGTCTGGACTCATGTGCATGTGTGCCCCAAATCCCAAGAGGAGAATGGAAGAGAAGGGGTTGTGGTATGACCATCTCCTGGGGGATGCTTTCTCGCTTTCTGTCTCTGTCTCTCCAGTGAGCGCATGCACCCTATAGCAAAAATGTCTATAAAAAGAATAATAATAATAAATTTAATTATTCTTTAAAAAGAAAAAGAAAAATACATCATGACTTTCCCAACCAGGATCTAATAGTCAGAAATCTTATCACTATTTTTTAGTAGATGTTTACTGAGTGTCAGGCACTGGGCTAGGTCCAGTGGTTGTGTCATTTTATCTGTAAGATAATCCTGTGAGATAGATATTGTTGTTCCTGTCATATAGGTTGTGATTTTCACAGAATCTCTTAGCTGGTAAATTTTAACTCCAGGTACTGAGCTTTAATCACCTGACCATCTCTCTGGGTTGAGAAAGAGGCCTGGGCTTAGAGGTTAAGAGTAGGAATTAGAAAGGCCGTTTTCTGCTTTTGGAGCTTCATACATTTATGGAGATTTGAGGACATGGAGAAGACAGAGGTGACATGGTGCTTTTATCTCTGACATGGCACGCCTCAGTAACAAAGTAACTGTCTTAGTTACTAAATGCTGATTCATCCTGGATCCAAACTCGGCTCCATTGCAGCAAGAGAAGGTTTCGCTAGACTTGTCATGTCAGTTTCTGAGCAACTCTGAAGCACAGAACCTTGATAAATACAAAAGCAGTCTGTTTTCTATGTTCACAAGGAGTTTAACCATAAATTGGTAAACAGAATACTATACCAGCAAATGTAAATTAAGATATCTACTAATGTTGACCTTTGAATGGAACTTTTTTTTTAACCATCTGTGTAAGAGAGAATGCGTTACAAATGTGGCTAGTTTTGTGCTCCGAATAAATGTTTCCCATGGCTCAGGAACTTTGGTGATAGGGGTAGAAAAAGGTTTTATAGATAAAATAGTTTCTTATTCTCAGTCCCTCCCTTAGAGATAATAAATTCTGGCTTTAGATGCAGATCAAGAAAATAGGTCATGAGCGCTCCATCTTACATCTTTTTTTTTTTTTTGAGAGTTTTTTTTTTTTTTGCTATAGGGCGTGTGCGCCCACCAGACAGACAGAGAGAGACAGAGAGATAGAAAGCGAGAAATCACCCCCCAGGGGGGATGGCCACGCCACAATCCCTTCTCCATTCTCCTCTCGGGATCTTGGGCACGCACACACACGCGCCCAGCGTGAGTTTAAGCCACCAGGTCCGGGACTCGAACCGCGGTCAACTACATGGGAGTCCAGCGACATAGCCATTATGCTAACTGCTGGTCCCTCCATCTTACATCTTCTAGTCATATTTTCATCATGGGAATCCCTAACATGTTAAGAGTAGTAAAACTCAATTTTTAAAAAGAATTATTTTATTTAACTGTATTTATTTATTTATTTATTTTATTTATAAGCCACGTGGGAGTCCAGTACCCTTAACCACCACGCCACCTGCCAGCCCCAGTAAAACTCATTTTGACTTATCCTGATAATGACTACATAGGGCTTTTCTTTCTTCCTTTTTTTTGGAGAGGTTTTTGCTATAGGGCACATGCGCTCACCAGAAAAACAGAGAAAGACAGACAGAGTGAGAAATCACCCCCCAGGGGGGATGGCCACATTGCAATCCCTTCTCCTCTATTCTCTTCTCAAGATCTTGGGCATGCATGCACACGCACCCGGCGTGAGTTTAAGCCACCATGTCCATGACTCAGACCACGGTCAACTACATGGGAGTCCAGCGACAGCCATTAGGTCAACTGCTATTCTCATAGGACTTTTCATAAAGCTGACTCACAAAAATCTCTGGTTGTTGAGAAGAGAGATCTTTCTTTCTTTCTTTTGGAGAGATTTTTGCTATAGAGTGCGTGCGCTCACCAGAGAGACAGACAGCAAGGAACCATCTCCCGGGGGTATGGCTATGCCCTACTCCATTCTCCTCTCAGGATCTTGGGCAGGCACACACATGCCTGGTGTGAATTTGAAGTCACTGAGCCCAGGAGATCTTTCTTGAAGAACTAAAGAATAGTTCCTCAATTTTCAAAAACCCAAACTTAGAAATTAATTGTAATCAATGACAGCGTCAAAGAATCTTGTAATGTAGGGGAAAAAGTCTTAGAAATCATCTCATATAAAACTGAGACTAAAGAGATTATGTGATTTAGCCAAGTGTATGTGACTTCTTAGTGGCAGAGTTAGAACTAGAATCCAGTACTAAAGGTAATTTCCTTATTACCCTAACTAGTTTTCTGATGTTTTCCTTAGGACTCCTGAAAATTCCAAGTATTTCCATAGTCTTTCAGTTAAGCAGGAAGGTAACCATAGCTCAGCGTATCTGTATTTAGGAAGAGCACAGTCACAGTTCTACTCTCCCCTCCAATCAAGATCTTGGTCTCTTTGTGGGTATTTTTTGTCGTTTGTTTTTGTAATTGTCTGTGGGCATGTGCACATCCCAGAAAGAGACAGAGAAAAGAGGAGAAAGCACTCCCTAACAGGGTTTGATTATGCCACAATCCCTTCTCTGCCATTTTCCATCCTGTCAGGATTTTGGGCACACCTGCACATATGCCAGGTGTGTTTTTCAAGCCACTAGGCTAAGATTGAACCATAGTTAGCAATGTGTAGGATCCAGCTCCCTTAACCACTAGGCTGGGTGCTGGCACAGTCCTTTTTTCTTTTTTTAGGTTATTTATGTGATGTGTGTTTATTGGAAGAGAGCAAGGTACCTTTGACACAGTCTCCAGACCACAGTCCTCCCACCCTTGCAGCCAGTTGTTTGTAGGTGTGGCAGGCATGTCCGAGTAGACCTGGAACAGGAAACCTGGGATGGCCTCCAGCACTGCACAGCGGCACCCATACTGCCTGTACCCTCGCAGCTGAACCTTCTTGATCTTTGATAGGAGGAAAGCCACCATTTTTTTTTATTGCCAGAGGGCGCATACAACTCTCCAGAAAGAGATAAAGCACACCGCAGTGGGGTGTGGTTATGCCACAGTCTTTTTCCTCCATATCTCCATCTCATCAGGGTGCACATGTACCTAGTGTGTTTTTCTAGCCACCAGTGCCATGATTTGAACTGTGGTTGGCCATATGGGATCTACTTCCCAATGCACAGAGCTTAACTCTTGTACTATGAGACCAGCCAGAACTGCTATTTATTAAGCACTTCCCTTGTGCCAGTCTTTCATATACTTGGTTGGTATTTTCATGGAATACTTAGAAGATTCTTGTGATGCATTGGGCACGTGTGCACATGTGCCCAAGATCCCGGGAGGAGACTGGAGATGGGATTTGAGCATGGCCGTTCCCGGGGAGGGGAGAAGGTATGAGGGGAGTGAGTTCTCACTTTCCCTCTCACTGTGATTGTGTCTCTCTCTGGCGAACCACACACACCCTAAGGCAAAAACCTCAACCAAAAAAAAAAAAAAAGATTCTTGTGATGGGCCAGCAAGTGTGGAGGTTAAGGTGTCTGGATTCCACATGGCCAGCTGAACAGTTTAAGTCCTGGACCCAGCAGCTCAAATAACATGCCAGCAGGCCTGTGTGTGAGGATGCCCCTAATCCCAAAAGCGAGGGAGAGATGGAGAAGGGGTTGCGGCATGGCCATTCCCCATGTGGAGTGCTTTCTCACTTTCCCTTTCTCTCTTTCTCTCTCTCTCTCTGTCTGGCAAGTGCATGTACCATTTGGCAAATTTTTTTTAAAAAAAGGATTCTTGTGAAATAGAATAGTGCTTCTTACCTTTAAATGGACATAGAGATCACCTGGGGATCTTGTTTAAAACGCAGATTCTGGGGCCAGTAGGTGGTGTGATGGTTTAGGGCACTGGACTCCCACATGGCCAACTATGATTCGAGTCCTGCACCTGCGGCTTGCTTTCTCACTTTGCCTCTCTCTCTTTCTCTCACTCTGTCCCTCCCTGGTCAAATTTTAAAATATGAATAAATAAATGAAGTTAAATAAAATTATTCTAAAAAAGTGCAGATTCTGATTTTGCCGGTCTTGGATGGGGCTCTGGACTCTGAAATTTCTTTATTTCTTTTTGTTTTTGGTGTTTTTTTTTTAGAGAGAGATGTTTGCTGTAGGGTGAGTTCACTCGCCGGAGAGACAGTGAGACTGAAAGCGAGAAATCACCCCTCATGGGAGATGGCCATACTGCAATCCCTTCTCCTCCATTCTCCTCTTGGGATTTTGGGCACGCATACACATGTACCCGGCATGAGTTTTAAGCCACCAGGTCTGGGAGTTGAACTATGGCTGACTACATAGGAGTCCAGTGATGTAACCATTATGCAATCTGCTGGTCTCTGGACTCCCAATTTCTAAAAAGCTTCCAGAAAACGTCAATAATACTGTTGACCTTTGGACCATATTTTTTGAGTAGGAAGGAGGTTGATATTCATTTTATAGATGGAAAAATTGAGGCTCACAGAGATGAAATAAATTGTCCAAGTTTATATAGGCAGTAAATGATAGAATACAACTTGATCTCAGTATGTCTGATTCTACAGCTCAAAAATATAGTAAGAGAAGCCAGGGAAAAATGGAAATAGCATATGTTCCAACATTTTTTCAACAGGTCACTTCTCAGGTTGAGTCAATGGCAGAATCCAGGATCACATCAGAAAATTCAGTCTCTAGGCCCAGTGTTTTCCCTGTCTCCCCAATAGTTCTCTGGTCAAGATCTTTTCTCCGTGCTTGGCAAACGACATTTAGAATTGGCCTTTGGGTTTTCTCCATTACAGGTTTATTGCCAAACCCTGTGCACTCCATGTTGGCATCGAGGACAGTGGTCCTTATCAGGCCCAACCCAATGCCATCCTTGAAAAGGTGTTCCTATCTATTACCAAGGTAAGTGGGCAAAGGAACAGGAAAACTCACAGTAGGGTTGCTCCTTATGGCAGGATAGAATAGAACACAAGTCCCCAAGGGAAAGGGTAGGATGGAATCAGCTTCCACATAAGCATAGTCCGAATACTGTTAAGGAGTACTTCATCCTCTCAGGGTGTACCTCTGGGCCAGGGTCCCTACATAAATTTGCAGACTTTAAATTTCAGATTCAGGAGCCACTTCCATCCCTCTTT